CCACAACATAATTAGTTCATATTTTTCTGTTTGAGAAGCACAAATAAATTATTGGCATGTTCTTTTAGAAAACAAAACAAATATTTCAGACTTCGGGTATTAGTATTCAAGCATTGTTTTCTATTCACTCAAGTTGATAACTTTCCCAAAATATACTTAGATTCAATACTACAATGCTTATTATCAAACTGTTACTCAAACACTACAACTAATAAAACTATTTGCAAATAAACAATTTCCCAATTACTTAGTATTATATGCAGTCATTTTAACACATATTTTATGAAGTTTTAAAATTATACAAAGATGCCTATATAAACTGTGTGCAGAGAAGGCTATATAATTACAATGCATTTTTATTCTGTGATACTAAATACCATATGGAACATCCAGAGGCATAGTAATATTAAGGCTACAAACATCTGCTTTGTTCTAGATGTGTCTTAAGAAAGCCCTTTACCAAGAAAATTACACTGTATTTAAAGGTGTGAGCGGGATTGGAAGAAACCAAATCTTGTAATAACTTTATTCGTTAATTTATTAAGACATCTTTAAGCATGCAATAGGATTTCCACTAGAAATTGGAGTCATTTGGGAAAGACCGTGGTGGCACAATGGTTAGAATGCAGTATTTCACTGCCAGAAGTTCGATTTCTTCAATCCTGACCAGCTCAAAGTTGACCAGCCTTCCATCCTTCTGAAGTCGGTAAAATGAGGACCCAGATTGTTGGGGGCAATATGCTCACTCTGTAAACCACTTAGAGAGGGCTGTAAAGCACTGAGAAACGGTAGATAAGTCTAAATGCTGTTGCTACTGCTATTAAAAACCAGCGAGCAGCATGACCATGCCTGAGTCAGGAAGAATTGCTGCAATGTGGAAGATTCATTATTGCAATAGGAATTGTGACATTTAGGATGCTGATAATCGTAACCTGTGTCCCACAATGAACAGGCATAGATCCTTGATGCTCAAATTGTTCCTCACTTATAGCAAATCACAGGTGTCTCCAGATGAGCAAATAGGTAAACTCTTACTACCAGATGAGGATAAGTTCTTCCCAATAGCAGAAATGTAAGAAAAATGGAGCAGGGCAAGTAAATATACACTAGAAGGAGGGGTTGCAAACATTATTGTGGAAACTAATCATTTGCATTTATTTTCAAGGGTGTTCTGATTCAGCAAAATGAAAAGATGCACAGGATCAAATTGAGAGAAGGCAAAATATACAGATGACATCTAATAAATCCAATGGCAACACCAAGATTTGTACACAGGTTAGGCTCCCGTGTATATGATCCATACAATCATATTTCTGTACTTTCACAGTGATTAACCAAACTATGGTCAAAATTGTTAGGTCACAGCTGGAATATTGTGGGCAGTTCTGTCACAGCATTAAAAAAGTATACGGTGGAAATTTATTTATTAGATTTGTTTGCTGAATTAGAGAGGGTTCAGACTTCGACAAAGATGACCAAGGGGCTAGAGCAACTTCCCCAAGAGGAAAGGATGTAATATTTGAGACATTTTAATATAGAAAGCAAGTGAATGAGAGAGTTGAAGAATATAAACATTTGCATGGTATGGATAAAATAGCCAAGGAAAAGTTAACTTCCTCTTCCCATATTAGTAGAATTGAGGTTAACCAATAAAATTTAATCCTGGAAGATTTTTTTTTAAAGAAACAAGAACATATAATTAAACTTTGAAATCTGCTATCATGAGATGTGGAGATATTAGCCTGGCTGACTTCACAAAAAAAAGAGGGGGGTGTTGGACCAATTCCTGAAAGTCACAGGGAAGCAATTAGCTTTTGAAGACCATTTGCTGGAGATTTGTGGGTTTCCTTAGCCACTCTGAGAACAGACAGATGGACTTGATGGGCCAGCCATCCAATCCAACAGGGCATTGCTTATGTTCATATGCTACTTTATGTTGCAATGGAATAAAGCAATATATTTCCCCATTTGCCAAATGGGATACACTGACAATAATTACCGATTCCAGTTCTTCCACTTCTTATTCATCAGTCCAAAGATGCTGTAGGCTCTGCTTGCTTCAGGTTTTCTACAAACTGAATCTAAACTTGGTGAATTGCTCAATACCTACTGACTATCCCACAGAATTTTCCTACAGAATTGGCACAGAGACCTTTCCTAATAGACTACGAAATTTCCAAAACTACCCTTCATACAGAGCTCTTTCCTACTGAGCTGGTCTGACAGTGATCATTTCCTGGGAATTTTAATCTTGCAGGTGCCTGACAAATTGTTGTCCTAAGCATTGTAACTATGGGATAAGATGGACTCTGCTCTACTTGGATTAAGTGGTTATCATGACAGGAAGAAACATACTAAAATTCTGAAATTCTGAGTCAGTACATCAAAATTATAATGACTAATAGTTCGGGCAAGTCAATTATTTGCCACTACTCTAATCTATTTCAATGACTCCAGCCTGCTTCTGGATCATCTTTAGCCCCAAAGGGTATTTCAATCAAATCTCTGGAAGCAAAAGAAGGCTTGATTTGGCTTTTTAATAAATAACAGCAATATTCTGCAGCCATGTCCTACTAACAATGTAAGAATGCAGAAAAGACATTATAAGCAATTGCTTTGTGGGAAGACAAGAGAAATGGTCAGAACTTTCTGATAGTAGCCATTCAAGCCAGAAACTCAACTCCACTCTCACAACTCTATCTTTAGAACATCCACTTTGCCCCACTTTTACAACTCCAGCTAAGATCTGAGAAACACATTTTAGTTCTCTTAATACATAAGGAAAAAGCAAGCCAAATCAAATTGATCTGAATTCCTCTTCCTGATAGCCACCAGTAACAACTTCAGAAATTAAAAAATTAAGTTCAGCAACCTATACCAGAAAATGCGTCAAATAATGATTACCTAATAGCAGAAATTATCTGTAAGATCTTAGAATGGTAGACCCCAGTATGAGTCACCCTTTTTTCATTGCAATAGTGCCAAACCATTGGGACACAGCAGTAATAATTACTGTAACAATGAGAAGAAAATTGAATGACCATCCAATCAGTTTATACAGGATCATCAGAAAACTGTACACCAAACATCTGAACACAAAATTGTTGGACTGGCCAGAAACATTTATTTGAGAATTAAGAATAATTATGCAAAAAAGAGAAAAAAAGTCCCAGTATTTGCTAAACATACCAGAATTTACAGATGTCTATTAAATGATCACAAAATTGAGCAAACCAGTATTTTCAAATACCTTGGAATCACTTTTCAAGCCCCTGATAAGAGAAACACTCATTCAGACCATGTAGTCTAGAATGCTCCCATATCAGAGGATGTCATACTAATCCTTGATGCTTTAAAGTTATTCTATGCCCAGGTTATTCTCAACTTCTCAATGGTTCATAGCTAGGCCCTATGGTAACTACTCAAAATCAAAAACTATTATCAAAAGTTCTACAAAGTATCATTCAATTTCCACACAATGTCTCAAATGTAGTTCTCCACAAGGCCGGTGTAAATAAGATTGAAAGAAATATTCTGCTTTTTTTCATCTATTGATTGCAGATAAATTTCTGCCCATATACTTGACTTGTCTGACCCTAGCAATTAATTTTAATACTATATGGAGGAGGGATCTGCTTGAGAAGCTACACTTATATGGAATCTCTGAGGAAATTCTCCTATTCAAAAAGTGAGAACATGCCAGAAAGGTACCCAGAACCCATTGGACATAGAAAAACAACTAGATCAGTATAAGCTATTCAGAGGTTTTCTCAAGGAGTTGATCTTTTTCACTCAGACTTATGAGATATTTAAATTCCATTTGTTTCCAAGATGAGGAAGTCTTGAACTAATTGCACTAAATCACTTATTGATTTAATGTTTAAGGTTTAATGCTCCACTTTCACTGTATTTGAAAGCAAGTATTCTCTCTCTCTGTCTCTCTCTCCCTCCCTCTCCCTCTCTGTGTGTGTAAATAAATAAAATATCCTGTGGTTTCTGATTGTGTCTTTGTGATGTGGATGCTGCTGGATATACATACAGTTTCTATAAGGATTCCAGGACTTCTTTTATTTACCCTGATATATCAAATACTCCTGGCACATAGATGCTTTTTACATGCAAAATCTTCTCTTGGACCAGACTGATCTACTTCCTTGGCTGTTGCTAAATTCCGCCACACAGCTACTAAATCTAGGCAGGAACTAACAACTTCCAAGGATAATATTTTCCAGACTCCTGCCATTTAGCTCTGCCTATAGACAATGTCTCTATTTAAAAAAAAACAAAAACAGGATTTTACTCTTCGTTTTTAGATTTTTCCTTACCTCAATTTCTAAATGCTTTTAGTTTAGTATTAACAATAATAGTTACACTCATAGGCAGAAAGTAATCAGAACAGACGTTGCTTAAATCGTTTCGGTTTTGCTTTATTTTTGTTCTTGCTTTTATGCTGGCCCTTGGCCGAAATTAACTGCTCGTTTGCTTGATTACCAGCCTCAAACGGTTCGCAGCACCCAAGGTCTATCGGAGGGAGGTGAATTGCCTTGTTCGATAACTGCAAATTTAACTCTCCAAGTCCGTCAGAAACAGACCTCGCTGCACAAAAACTTTTTAAACTCAAAGAGTTACTACGTTCCGCAAACTCAATTTTGCCCCCACCCTTACATTTCAGCCAATTTCCTGGCGACCAGTCTTAATAAACTAAATGTCATCTGCCACGCGAGAATCTGAGCCAGTCTCTCCCAGCCACTGGCAGTCGGGGCAGGGAAGAGCGCGGGGGGCGTTCGGGGAGACCCCAGGGGAGGGTCGGGTGGAAAGGAAGAAAGGGAAAGGAAGCAGGCCAATCACGCCCATATGGAAGCCGGAGGGAGGGGAGAAATGAAAGCCGGACAAAGAAACAAAAGGACGGAGAAGAGGAAAAGGGCGCGCGCTTTGGGGAGAACTCGCTTCCCTCCAAGACTCATCCCTGGAAGCCAAAACGCTCCCGGCTTGAGACGTACCTCACCTCGAAGCGGCCGGAGAAAAGGCTACTGCTGCAGCTCCGCGTCCTCCCACCGCTCGGCTCCAGCGACTAAAGCGAGCCGCCCCAAATCCGGCATTTATCCCGCCGCGGTCGAGAGCGCGCAGAAGCGACCAGGCGGCGCCCACTTCTCTTCCTCTCTCCCTCTCCCTCTCCGCAACCTCCGCCTCCTCTGCTCGACTTTCCCCACCGCGTTCCGGGCTTTCTCTTTCTTCCGCATAAGATCGCGCGGCAAAAGAGAGAGAGAGAGGGAGGGAAATCTCGCTGGTCCTGATTCCGATTCCCTTTCCAAGTCAGCAGCCCTCCCCGTCACGAAAGCCCGGCTGCCGCTGGCTTTTTCTACGCCGCCTCCCTCTCCACGAAAGAGAAAGCAAGAGGGCGCCGGCGTGGCTCTGCTCTCTTTCGCTTCCAGGCGGAATTCTTGCCTCGCCCGGTTTTCAGGATGGGCTTTAGAGATAATTATAGTTGCTTTCACCGATAGCACACTGTCCATATCTTTAAAAAAAAAAAGAGAGAGAGAGAGAGAGCCTTGAGTCCAGATGCAAGCGGTATCTCGGAGGTGCCTTTTCTTCCATCTTCCCCCGATTTCCCTTTTCTCCCGAGCAGCATAACTTGGCCCGTTGCTCAGTCTCCCTAAGTAACTGTTAAAAAGATTTTCCTGTTGAGGTTTCTGGGGTTGGGTTGGGTTGGGTTGACTCTGCAAGTGTACATTCGTAATGAAAGTACAACTAGGCTTATGAGAGATAAACTTCCCTTATGTGCATGAACAAAGTTGTTCTGGCATACAGGGAATAGCTGCAGTCATACTAGGCAGAAACAAAATGCGCCATGCATGCAGTACGCTAAGCCACACAAAGTTCATGTATGTGTCATGCATACATCTTAATATGGTGTTCAAGTTTATCTAGACAAAGGAATAAGATTGTCATAGATGACCCACTTTTGTCTCTAGCCTGATCCACTACAAATTTTGAGTCCTATCAAATATTAACAGGTAATCCCCTGAAAAATACTTCCAAGGGAATATAACTGAACAAATTAAAATGTTCTACACTTCTGTGCATACTGCATTGCATTGCTACATGTGCTGGACTGGAAAATTCAGTCCCATCTTCTATCTGATGGAAGAAGTGATCAGGAGTTGTTGCTTCCCACAATAAATATGACAAATAAATAAATAAAAATTCTCATTACTTGAAGCTGAGCCTTCACAGAGACTGTGAGTTCTTCTCTGGTATGCAAAACAGAAGAAAAGAGTTGCTAACTACAGGGTTCCCAGGCTAGCTGCAATTCATTAATGCAACAGGTAACCATAATTGCTCACTTAAAATGAACCACATAATGAAATGTGCACATCTAAGGCCTCTAGGACCTCCACGCCAGAGTACTTGTATTCCTGCACCCATGTTGTGTACATTTTTTCAGACCCTTTCAACCAGTCTCCCCACTGCTTCCCTCTCCCAGAAAGGTTGCTATGAAGAGCTTGAAAGCTGTGACAAATGAAAAAAATAGCTTGTCAGCATTTTAGTAATCAAGCACTTTTCTCTGTATTGTAACCATAGTTGCCAACTGCTATGGCAGCTGGAAAGAGGACTGAGGGAGAAACTGCTCCCACCAGGCACCAGAAAGCGAGTCCTGAGGCCTTATGGTAATGGTTGCCTTGACACCCAGAGACAGGGTGATTCAAGAGTTCCTACCAAGAGGAGAATAAACCATCAACAAGGTTAGCAGAATTGCAACAGGGCAAAAGGAGAAAAAAAGTAGCTTTGCTCTGACATCAAATTAGCCATGCGGAGCCAGAAAAACAACAACCCCAACTTAGCTCTCTCAAACCCAGTTAAACAGACCCAGGGAACTACAGACCAATCAGCCTAACATCAATACCTGGGGAAATACTGGAAAAGATAATAAAAAAACAGATCTGCGAACATCTAGAAACAAACAAAGTTATAACTAGAAGCCAGCATGGCTTTGTTAAAAACAGATCATGCTAAACCAATCTTATTTCAAAGTAGACCAGAACCTACTTCTTGGAAAGCTTTAAAAAAGTGGAATAGACAGTTTCCCCATCAGATGGATTTTTAATTGGTTGAAAAACTGTACTCAAAGAGTAGTCCTTAATGGTATTATATCTGCATGGATGGATGTAAGCAGTGAGGTACCACAAAGTTCTCTCCTAGGCCCAGTACTCTTCAACATCTTCATAAACGACCTAGATGAGGAATAGAAGGGGAATTTATCAAATTTGCAGATGACACTAAGATGGCAGGAACAGCCAACACCCAAGATGATAGGCTCAAAATCCAGAGGCATCTTGACAGACTTGAACACTGGGCCCTATCTAACAAAATGAAAATCAATGTAGAGAAAAGTAAAATTGTACACTTAGGCAAGAAAAACCAAAAGTACACATATAGATTGGGTGAAACAAGGCTTAATAGCAGCAACTGTGAAAGGATCTTGGAGTCTCATTTAAATATGAGCCAACAGTGCAATCCTAAATTGCATTAACAGAGAGATTCAATCAAGATCACATGAGGTACTAATACCACTCTATAAAGCCTTAGTAAGACCATACCTAGACTACTGCAATCAATTTGGTCTCCACATTATTAAAAAGATGTTGAGACTCTGGAGAGAGTGCAGAAAAGAGCAACAAGGATGATTAGGGAACTGGAGGCTAAAACATATGAAGAACAGTTACAGGAACTGGGCATGGCTAGTCTAATGAAGAGAAGGACCAGGGGCGAAACGATAGCAGCGTTCCAGTATTTGAAGTGCTGTCACAGAGAGAAGGGGTCAATCTATTTTCCAAAGCACCTGAAGGCCAGACAAGGAATAACGGATGGAAACTGATCAAGGAGAGATTCAACTTGCAAATAAGGAGAAATTTCCAGACAGAACAATCAACCAGTGGAACAGACTGCCTTCAGATGTTGTGGTGTGTCATCACTGGAGGCTTTCAAGAAGAGACCGGATTGCCATCTGTCAGAAATGGTGTAGAGACTCCTGCTTGGGCAGGGTGTTGGACTAGATGACCTACAAGGTCCCTTCCAACTCTGTTATTCTATTCTATTCTATTCTATTCTATTCTATTCTATTCTATTCTATTCTATTCTAATGCTGTGTAGTCATACAGGTTTGGAACTGTAGTGACACATCTTTTGGTCTGAATTTATATACATGTATATATATCCGGGATAAAGTGACTCATTTTTTGTTGAGATGAAGAGGCAATATGTTCCTTCTTGAGAACATATTTTGCAGCCTCCTTATCATGTCCTCCATTATTTAGAATAGCCCTAAGAGCCTTGTATGCAGCCTTTGCAAATAATGAAGAAAAGTAAAGCAAGAAAAGAGACACAATGAATGTTTCATTTTTCTTGTAAAAGTTAGGGCCCCGTGAGTCAGAAAGCAGATTTACAAGGGTGATTTGTTCACCCCTTTGTTAGAGAAAAATACCTCTTTGAAGGGCAGAGTCCTATTCTATAGTCATTTGACCAGTATGTCTTTAAATTCAAGAAGTGCAGCAATGGGATTAGCTTAACATTTTGGTACAGTATAAAAGGGGACAAGGAAGAAATTTAAGAGAAAAAATACTATTGGACAAAAAATGCTATTGGTGAAAAGACTTTGAAATCTTTCCTACCTGCATTTACATCAGTAACAAAGAGTTTTGGTTGACATTTTAAGAGACAATTTAAGATCTGACAAGATCTGATTTTACTTTGTTAAAGTGCACTTTACTAAGTACAAATAGAGACTTGATATTCATTTGCTGTGGGGTACTACAGAATTGTTGAGTTTCTTCTATTTTTAAGCAAGAACTGAAGTCAATCAATGCCAATTGTTCAGGAACAACTGTTAGGGTCTGATGGGGGAGTAAAGGAACTCTCGGTTTAGGAACATACTGAAAGAGGCATTTCAGAATGTTTAGTTACCCTGATGACAGCATCCATACATTGGTTGTATGAAGCTCTGCTGATTTGTGTTGTTTTGAAATGATATTAAATCATTTGTCAGCTCAATTTGATTCAGCATTGCAATGTTTAAGTTAAGAAGTTAAGCTAATAGCTGCATTTTTAGAACATAGGAACTGTCTTATAACCTTCATCTCAACTTTATGTATGTTAAGCAGCCCTGCCTCTTTAGAATTTCAAATACCTCATTTTGACAACTAGCTGAAAATGCCAGAGATTAAATTTAGGGCATGCTGAGTGCAAGGTATGTGTTCCACCACATCAAAGCTAAACTCTGGGACCAGCAATGCCAGTCATGCACTAAGGTTCATTCCCTGACAGGAAGCCCATTAACATTTATCCTCTGAATTTGCTCTTCCTTTTCATGCAGTGGGTTAGGGTTAGGGTTGTTAGGGGTCATCAGTTTCCTTGTACTTCTTTCTAGTCAAAGTTAGTTGATCTCAAACACTCAGCAGGATTGGCTCTGGTTAGAATTTGGATGGGAGACTAATAAGAAATAGTAGATATGTAGATTAAACACTGTTAAAATTGCTAATTGTATCCATTGCAAAAATAATTCCATTGGCTAAAAGAAGTTTTCAGTCTATAACTTGTTGTTTTGTTCAGGACCTTCCTTGCCCACAACAACAAAAACACTCAAAAGGCTCCTGTGACCTGCATGGCTGACCTTAACCCCCCCCCCCTCAAGGAGAACTGGCAGAAGGAAATCCAGTTGAAGCTTACTTCCATGCACAAGGCAGTTGCTGTTTTACTCTAGAACTCAAATTGCTGTACATGTACAGTAGTCTCCATCATTTCAATCCATTAACTGAATCTGATTAGAGTATTTCCAAACTGTTTACCAAAGGATGTAATGTGTGACTTAACCAAAACAATATGCTTCTTCAAGGATTTGTACTGGTCTTAAACCTGGCATAATATTATGCCTGAAAAAGAAGAGTTATGAATAAAACATTTTATTGGTCATAGTATTTTCTATGTAATCCTCCACAATAGGAAGAAATCAGCTTAAGAACCTGGGTTCACATTGTGTGCTAAGCCATATGGTTGAATTAGCATATTACACGAATGGTTTATAAACCATGGTTTGTGTGTTGTACAAATGCAGTCATTTATAAGCTGTAATTTAGTGCAACATGCAACAAGTGATGTA